CATTGTTAATATTATATTAATATTAATTTTTATTTTGAATTTAATTTTTAGTTTTTATTTAGAGATCATTTAAATGTACTACATAGATCTAAAAATAGGGGGCTTTTTTGTTTTGTGATTTTCTCAAAATTAAAAATTAGTTTGAGAACCGTGTTTTGTTGGTCCCGCCCCCATATGAGGAATTAATTTGGATCATGGATTTTTTGTGAGAAAAATGATAATAATAATAAGATTTTTTGTTAACTATAAAAAACTGACATTGAATTGTGTAACAAATATCTTGACTTTTTAATAACTCCATAACAATTTTTGGAAAATTTCTGTGATGATCACCATTACCATTTAAAATAAACAAGGTTACAACTGAGAATGCAATGTGAGCTTTTGCTTTTCGTGTTATATACAAAACATGCATACCATGCTATGTGAGAATAAAAATTCAATCAAGTTGGGTTTTGCGTCTTCTTCGTCGCAAAGAGCAAAAAAATGACATCACTCGGGCTAAGACAATAGTCTATTCTATTAAATTCGAAACATATAAATAGGACAGCCGTCCAAACTTTTTTTTTGTTATTTTTTCATAGAGAAATTCCTCTCAGGCCATTTCAGCGCACAAAACTCAACCTTCTACATTCGGCCACATAAAATAATTGTTCGTTATTATTATACAACGTTATTACAGGAGAGACCATTCTGGTAACAAAATTTTAACCCACGCAATTGACCAATTAAAATTGTGAATTTAAAAATAAAACATTTAATGTGGGTTTGATTCATTTTGTCAACAATCACTTCACGAACGATTGTTTCATTAACAAATGGCTCAAATTTAAGAAGCTGGAAGCAACCATTTGAAATAGTCTAACAAATTAAATTGTACTACTTGAAAATGTATTTAAAGGGTTGATTTTTGACTTGATTGAAGAATAACTCTCTTCCTAACTCTTCTCTTGACCATATCTCTTGATATAATCAAAATAACCTTAATACAATGAATGTCAAAATGATCATAAATGCAACAATTTAAGATACATGATCAAGAGAAAACATGAACGATGTATGAAAAAATCAAACAAATTTATTTAATAAAACAAAATTTACAACTCAAAACAATTTTTTTTGCATGTAATAAAATTCCATTATTAACTATTAACAATCTAATTATATATATCTTGACTGATCAAACCCACCTATATGGTTATTGAATAATCAATAATAATAATAAAACATTAATTAAATATATTTTACAAATAGCTTCATAGATCTCAACTTTAAGACTTACTTTGATCAAACCCACCCATAATAACAAACGTTCATTTTGGAAACTTGATTTGCAAATAGATCTTGACTTTAACACTTACTTCTACCAAGCCCGCCCATATAATCATTTGAATAATTGATAAATCGCTCATTAAATACATTTTACAAATAGATTTATTCATAGATCTTGACTTTTAACACTTATTTCGACACAAGCTATTCAATAATTGATAAACGTTCATCAATATATTTTAAAAACTTGCTTTGGAAGTTTTGTATGTCGTCATACGACTTGTATTTAACAGTTTACTTTTTCTGTTTAATTTTATTTTTTTTTTTAGATTACACAAATAAAAATCATGGAATAAATTTAATCCAATGAAATGGTTGTTATTCCATAAAAAAATCAACCAAGCTTTTTTTTTTCTTAAAAGAAAAAAAGATCCTTCGCAAAGAAGAACCCTCGTGTGAATCAAAAGCCATTTGCGAATTTCGATTATTAAAATCTTTTATCCTGATCATTTCCTCGTGTTTTTTTTTCGTCTATCGCTATAGAAGAATAAGCTTCATGCAAACATCAAAAGTCATTTACAAATTTCGATTGTTTTAAAAAAAATCAACCAAGCTTTTTTTTTTCTTAATCAATCGACGTATTTTATTTGTTTTTCCCAAAAGGAAATTTTTTCATTAATCAACGATTTTTTGTTTTCTCCAAAAGGAAATCAGATCATCCACTATCCTTCAAATGGTCAAAAAAAACCAAAAAAGATTAAAATTTTTTCTTATCCAGATCACCCACTATCCTCAAATGGTCAAAATCCCAAAAAAAATTCAACACAAACAATCAAAAAAATTTTGCACATATTGTTTTGTTTATCAATCTTTTTTTTTTAAATTGACAAAACGAAACGATTTTATTGTTTTCTCCAAAAGGATATTAGATCACCCACCATCCTTCAAATGGTCAAAACCAAAAAAGATTGAAAGGAAATTAAAATTTTTTCTTATCCAGATCACCCACTATCTCTCAAACAGTCAAAATCCAAAAAGAAAAAATTTCGTTCAACATGAACAATCAAAAAAATTTGCACATTTTTTTGTTTATCGATCATTTTAAATTAACGAAATAAAACGTTTTTGAACCTTGATCTCGTGACCAGAAAATATCACAAACACGTTGTGTGACGAGCCTTTGACGATCCGAGGTAAAGGTTCCAAGACAAAG